GAAAGAGGAGTGGATAACCGTTCATTGAAATTGATTCTTGTTGACAGCCAAAATATTCAGAAGTTAGGACCTGGAAGAGCATCTATTATACATAGTGAAAGCTTAGGCATTAGTCATGGGGATGAAAAAGAAGATATTGCAGCAAGCAGAGGTGGAAGACAACGACGAAAACAAGGTTCTTTATATAATCTTCCTCCCTTGGGCTGATACCATTTTGGTACCACGTTACAACGTTGCACATATTTGTTAGATGATAGTTTTTTATGGCCAATTATTGTGTTTTCCATTTCACATTTTGATATTTACTGTGTGTATATGATTGAGTGCTTTACCTAGATTGCTCTAGTTTTAATCTTCCAATTTTGCGATAAGTTTCTGAACATGATTCCTAGTTTGCTCTCTCAAAATTGGTGTATGCCTTGTTTCTATCTGTTCTTAAGCAGGTCTTTCCTCTTCACCAGCTTATAGGAGATGGGAAAAGGCTGCAATAAATGGCGTTTCTTTGGTGGCTGATGCTGCTGAACATTTGGAACGAGCATCAATCGACAAAAATATAGATTGTCGAAAAGGTTTGGTTGCCAATATTGGATGATATTTAAGTTTTTATTTGCTGAGATGGGCCTAGATGGTAGTTTGCGGAGGACTAACATATGAAAGTTCTGAATGCAATCCTCTTTCTATCTTAGATTCTGGTCCCTCTGAACATCAGTCCATCGGAAAATCTTTGCTTTCCTTGGGTTCCTCTGATCATAATCCTCTCAACGAGACCAACATGCAGTCGGCAACCAAGCTGAAACTTCAGTTGTTTCCAATTGATGAATGTACTCGAAGAGCCTTGGAAACGGTAAGTATCATATACAAATTATTTCAGTCAGAGCAATGGTTTACCGACCAGTGATGGACATTACAATGGAGACTGATTTGATTGTTGACAGGGTAAACACAATCCACATCTAGAACTTACTCTTAGCAATCGCAAGAAGATATCATCCGTACTGGAACATCTTAATCGCAAATGGGGAAATTCAAGTGCTGCATCTGGAGATCTTATGCTTTTTCCTTACAGTGCACGAAAAGAAACTGTGATGTCTCATCAGAGATGGACACAGGACTCATTTCTAAGCGCTGGAGATGTGCATTCAATGGTTGGAAGTCCCTCTGTTTTCCGCTTAAGGTTTGTTATCGTATTTTAAGGTTTTGCAGGGTTTTTCTGATTGATCATTTCACGTGATAGCCGATAATTTAAAACTGTTTCCAGGTATGGTTGGTTCATCCGCAGTGCATGGGGTTCCTTAACTTCTCAAGCCCCGATTTCAGCCTCCTGTCTTCAAGTTGAGCAAGATATGAATGTGGATGAGGTGATCGGGCATGTTGCTGAATCAGCACCGTTATCTTTGCATTCAACGGCTGAACCATCAAGATCTCTAGAGCCCAGCCAAAGTGTAGCAGGTCCCTCCAGTGAAATCCTTGCTCATCGTGCAGAATCCAGAGAAAACCTTGAACAGATCTCTGCAAGTGGTCCACATAACGAAAAGGAGACTGGAAATATGAGCTCCAGTGACCAGATTGATAATGTGCTATTTCTTTTTAAGTTCTCTATGTTCATTAAGCTTTTTGGTTATTGCAACTTTGTGTTTTCTGATGTAATTGCTTTGGCGTGTACAATTTTAGGATGATCTGCATGTGGGCAATGATAACGCACTCTCAGCGGGAGAATGGGCTGATAGTCTTACCAACATTAGCATAGGCGATCTACTTTCCGAGGCACCTGGCGATCTACTTTCCGAGGCACCTGATAACATAGACAGTGATTGTGCCGATCCACAAGTTGAGGACACTGAATGCCTCTTGCAAGACGTTCCATTTGCCTCCGACTCCTTCGATGCTGCAATTGCTGCTCATATTCTACGACACCATAACGAAATTGGCGCCTCACTAACACTGCCATCTGGCTCGTGCTTGTTATGGGACGACGAAGAAACACGTGACACATTCTCCTTCCAGAATAATCGTCTTGCAAATGCTTCTTTGTCCGCTGTTGCTTCTCCTGTAGGTACCAGTAAATTAAATGCAGAACCTTCTCACTCAGTAGAGGTATTGTCATAACTCTCTTTCATATACCACTGGAGCAATTTTCGTAATTACCTAGGAACTAAACCGTCTTGTTTCTTTAATCTTTTAACTTTCATCTCAGGGTTTACCTGAACCTGATCTACCTTCGAAGTCCGCTGATCTTGAAGATCCAATGGAAGAGGCTCCAATTGAGCCAAATACAGCAGATTCTCCAGAGAGGACGACACTTTGTGGGCTTGCAGATGTATATTGGGTAAAATCTAAACCCTCTTCTGGAACAAAAACGGTACGAACCCTCAAACAATACACTGATTAACCGTGTTTTTTTTGTTCTACTTTACAGCCCGACTCATTAGGACCATTAGATCTAGATATCAGATCGTCGAAGTATAGCAACGAGGATTTGATCCTAAGCGACAGCCTCGGGGGTTTGAGCCGTCTGATAGCGAGTAGCCTGGATGCGTTTCAGAACTGCTCGATCTTTGGCTCGGAGAACAAATCGAAAGATCAGCCTTCCATGGTCTGAACCACGAGCCTGCAAAATCACAAGAATGAAATCCATTGGTGCAAACATATGATAATGATGAACCCGATCAAATGGTTTTGAGTTTGGTTGATGGTAAGTGGTCGGAAGAACTCTTGGCTCGTAACACAGAACAAAAACTGGTCCGAGACGGACGGACGGGCGGATGGATGGCTTCATGTACAAAAAAGCTGATGTAAGTCTTAGCGTTTGACACGGGACCTCTCCTCTAACTCCTGTTGTGTTCATAATGTTCCATGTGTATTTACTTTGGTTAATACGTCCTTATTTGAGTTTTTTTTTCTGGACAGTAAATATCTGGAAATAATCGGATGTTTGCTCTCATTTACACCCACTAATGATCTTCACTTTCGTATATGCATTGACAATTAGGCACTAATGCAATATAATTAATTAGACGATAATGATGTGAACTAGAGCTAGATGAGCCAAGAATTATCTGCAAGCCAGTCAATGGTAGCAGGAAATACAGGAAGAAAATGTCTGGAATTCCAAGAATGGGACTTGAAGAACCAAGAAGGGAACCTCATTGATCTATATGAACAATGAAAACTCATATATACTATGCAAGTAAATTATGAATTTGAGGTCCGAATCACATGTATTTTAAGGCTACCAAATCTTTCGAACTTTCAAGATAAACAACAAAATCATGCATGATATATACCATACATGGTATATAAAAATATAATTTCGATATCTACAAAATAACAGTAAGAACTGCAATTCCAATAATGGTTTAGAAAGTTACTAACGAAAAAATATCATAAGATCAATAGTTATCCTCAATTCAATTTTTTAAAATATCATTCAAACACATGTCTCTTATGTCATTACAGAGTTAAAAGAATCATTAGCATAATAAATTGTGTTTTTTATATATAAAAAGAAAGAAAGAAAACAAATTCCCTGATCCTATCATAGACCTTCAAAGTAAAATCAGAGAAAAAAAGGAGGGAACCCCCCATTGTATTCTTAATGACAAAGTTTTTTGTCGCAATTATTAGGGAACCAAGAATTCAAAAGAAGTCCACTTCCCGACCCATGTGCTCATCGTCAGCGGAACCAAAAAAGTCTCCAAACAAATATAAAGATACAAAAATAATCATCGTAAAGAAATATATATATATATGTAAATGCAAATGGGAGTTACTGTTATTGTAAATTAAAGTGGGTCCAATCAATCATATCATTTAATTTTTTTATCATTTTATCTAAAATTCAATTGTCGTCATTTTTCTGGAAACCAGAAAGTGACGTGGGACCATAATAGATATTTATTCTAAAAAATCGTTACAGAAAATAATATTTAGTTTGAGGTTTGAAGCGAAGCTTAACATCTCACCCGTAAGAATTCTTGACCAAGCTATCAAATATTGATTCTCATAAGCAAGAGGAATTATATATATAGACTGAAAATCAAAATAGATTCCAAATGATGTTTTTGAAAAGAAAAAAATATAAATTTACAAAAAAAAATGTAAAAGTTCTAACAGCTTATTTTTTTTTACAAAACCTTATAACTATTATTAAAAAAGATTTCAAATCACACTAAGATATGAAATTAAGCAAAATTTAGATGTAAATATATTCTATCCGTGGCACCACTGCAACGAGTTATTCCTATCTGACGAAGTCCCCCACGTCATTATTAAAGAATAAGAATATTAAATTTCAATTTTTTATAAATTTACGGAAAATAAAGTTTTACCACAAAAAAGGCTTTTTTATAATAAAAAATATGTCATGAAAAGTGCTTGGAATCTAATTAATTAATTAACTTCTACGAGAACCCCAAATCTAAGAAAAAACTCAATTCTAAGTCTCTCTCTCTCTCATTTAAAAGCCTTCAATGCCAAACAGAAACTTCAATTCAGAGAGAGAGAATCAGATGAAACATGTCCGAACGCCAATCCCTCATCCTGATTCTCTCACTCATCACCACCGCAGCTCAAATTCTTGTAAATCCCACAAATGCCGCTGCATTTACCCAAAATTTCAAAGAAGCCCCACAGTTTTACAACTCTGATGATTGCCCCTCAATCGTCTCCGGCGAATCCAACGCCGCCGGAGAAGAATCCATCTTCTGCTCCGACCAGGCCGTCCATGTCACCATGACCCTCGACGGCGCCTACATCCGCGGCTCTATGGCCGCGATCCTCTCAGTCCTCCAACACTCCTCCTGCCCGGAAAACGTAGTCTTCCACTTCATCGCCTCCGCCTCGAACGACGGCGCGTGGAACCTACGCGCCACCGTTTCCGCCTCGTTCCCTTACCTGAAATTCAAGGTCTACGTCTTTGACGACTCCGCCGTCTCCCGCCTCATCTCCACCTCCATCCGCTCCGCCTTAGACTGCCCTCTCAACTACGCCCGGAGCTACCTCGCCGGAATCCTCCCGCCGTGCGTCCGCCGCGTCGTATACCTCGACTCCGACCTCGTCCTCGTCGACGACATCGCAAAACTCGCCGCCACTGACCTCGGACCCGACCCGGACACCGTCCTCGCCGCACCAGAATACTGCAACGCCAACTTCACCTCCTACTTCACGACAACCTTCTGGTCAAACCCCACACTGTCGTTGACTTTCTCCGACCGGAGCCGGAGACCCTGTTACTTCAACACCGGAGTCATGGTGATCGACCTGTCGCGATGGCGAGCTGGCTCGTACACGGATCGTATAGAGGAATGGATGGTAATGCAGAAGCGTACGAGGATCTACGAACTGGGATCGTTACCGCCATTTCTGCTCGTTTTCGCGGGTCGGATCGGACCGGTGGATCACCGGTGGAACCAACACGGTCTCGGCGGCGACAATTTCCGGGGACTATGTCGGAATCTGCATCCGGGTCCGGTGAGTTTGCTCCATTGGAGCGGGAAAGGGAAGCCGTGGGCGCGGTTGGACGCTGGTCGTCCGTGTCCGCTCGACGCGCTTTGGGCGCCATACGATCTCTTGCAAACGCCGTTCGTGTTGGACTCATGATCGATGGTTAATTAATGGCCAGTAAATAACATATATAATTTTTTTTCAAAAAAAAAAAGAGAGGCTCGATATTGGGATTTCCAATTGAGCAAAACGAATTTTTGTTTCGGGTGTGTATTTTTAAAATATACGGATTTTTTCCTGTATATTAAATCGAAAATTTTTTCTTGTTCATCCGTAGAAAATATATAATAAAACAAGGAGAAGAAAGCTTTTCTTCTTCTATCTGTTCTTTCCCTTTATTATTACTATTATGATATTTATTAAATTAATCGGTTTTAAATCGAAATTATAATAGTGTGGAAATAAGCTACGGAGCAAAATGGGATCAAAGTTAATCTTTATCACGTTGTGGTTTTGCCATTGGCTTCAGATTCTAAGGTTGTGTACGGCGGAACTCGCCGGAAGGTTTGTTGTGCTTTTTTCTTTTGTACGGTAAAAACGTGGCTAAAATCAATTTTGATAAAAAATAATATATAGGATATGGATCTATCTAAATGTATGTCTCCATTTTTGTAATGGAGGGTTTTTTTTTTATATATCCCAATTTGGCACCTATGATGCTGATTTTGTCTATTTCCCATACTGAGAAACGTTTTTTTATTTATAATTGGGATTAAAAATATGAAAAAACATTCCATTTAGAACACGTGGTAGAATAGCTCCAATTATCTTTCTTGTTAAAATTTTCTCATTGCAATCAGATAATTTTGGGTAAGATAAAAAAAATGTAGATTATTTTGCCCATACTAGTGATGCACATGGAAATTCATGGCTTTAATCATTTTCCAACACAACACGTTTCACACTATTCTCTCTCTCTCTCTCTCTCTATATATATATATATATATATTCCAAGAATAGCTTTAGACGGCCCATACCTTTCAAACACATCTGAATCCAACCAAACCCGGTCAAAGAAGAAATGAAAAGGACCTTATTGGTACAAATCGAACCAAACCAAACCAATAATTATACAAACCGAAAAATGCAGTGAATTCCGAACAAATCTGAACGGAACCGGATTCAATTTGATCCGAGTACATAACTTTACGGATGAAACGTGTAGAGAAATCAAGAAAATGTGTCCCTTTTCTTCGTTAGATCATCCATCCGTTTCATACACAACAACAACAACACCAAACGGGAAATTCGACGGCTGAAAGATCGACGATCAAGCAGTTTTTTTTCAAGTGAGAAATCACTCATCATTGATGAACAGATGTTTGTCTCGAGCTGTGAGTTTTTTTCAACGTTCTATGTTGATAATAATATTATAGATTCATTGGTTTAATCATGAGCCACCTTACAAGACAAACGTCACCCCGATTCGAAACGCATCTTAAATATGGCTACGACCTGGTTTAGATCGGTTCGGTTAACCAAATAAACCGGTTACCAACTAACGGTAATGGGCCTTTTTAGGCCCAATATCAATTTGTCTGACCCATATATATATATATACACAGAAGCTGTACAACAATGGCGTTGTCGATCTCTAATCTCGCTTATCTCTCTCGTTCCTCTCTTTCTCCTCTAATGTATCTCAGAGAACTAACGGCCTATTTTTCTCCCGACAAAATTCGGTGTCACTTTCCACGGCTACCTCCGGCCGCCCCCCCTTTCATTCTCGATCACCGTCACGGTGGCTGATTCTTCAACAGATTTGGGGACCGCAAACTTGAAAAAGTACATAAAATCGAAACTTCCAGGTGGATTCGCCGCTCATCAGATCACGGGAACCGGTCGTCGCAGTGCGCCATCGCTCGGGTTGCGCTTCAGGAAGGTACGGAAGAGGTCATCGTTAACTATCTTGACGCCAAGGTATTCGAGTTGTTTCCGTGCATTTTTGTTCGGTTCTGATTGTATGATTTTCAATGAATGGAGGGAGGGAGGGATGGAGTGTAGTTGGGTTCGCTATAGTGCCTGCGTTTTGGGTAAACTTAGGGTTTATAAATGTCGGGATTGATCATGTTCTTCTAGGGTTAGGGTCCTTGAGGATCAAAATTGAACGTGAAAACTGGTAATTTGAGAGAAAAATGCTAAATTTCATGGCCGGTTCCAAGAGGAGTTGGATTTCTGACCGAAACCGCAGAATTGTATCCGTCGAGAAAGTCATGAGAATTAGGTCTCAGGAATCATATTTAAGAATCTATGAATGTGATCTGAAAAGTTGGTTATTTCATAGTTTATTTTATATTTTATAAAAAAAAGGTTTTTTGAAATTAAAGGAATGAAAAATATATAGATTAGTCCACCCGGTTAATCATAATACAGAATATACAAATATACAACCACCACCACAATTCATATTTAATTAAGAATATGAATGAAGTTACATACTATATACATATAATGTCTCAGGAATTTGACGAGCACTTCGGGATCATCACACCATCGCTTTCAACCTCTTCGAGTACTACACTGGAGGCATTTTCCTAGCAAAACAACACGTACATATACATATATACATATCACGAGATATGAGTAGCATATATATATATATATATATATATATATATATATATATATATAAATACCTCAGAAATGATGCATTCGACTTGCATGGCGTATTCACAGTCGTCGCATTCGTGCGATGAGTGCCGAGGATCTCTCAGATCTTCTTGTTGCTATGTAGAGGCCGGGTTTCGAGCACTTCGGGATCATCACACCATCGTTTTCAATCTCTTCAAGTACTACACTAGAGGCATTTTCCTAGCAAAAACAACACGTTTAAAGCCATATATATATATATAACCAATGCTCTTGTCTAACTAGTACCAAACCTGGATAAAGGAAGATGAGTTTTGTGGTAGATAGCAACCAACAAAACTGATCAATGTCATACCTTACATGTAATAAATAAAAATGACATAAATGTTGGGGCGTAATCTATTTACGATGCGTATTATCAGAATTCAGATTAGTGAAAAATAGGCAAGGGTGTAGAGCATCACCCGAATGCGATGCATCATATCAACGCCTGGATATAGTGCTAAATAGACCAGGGTTACCACATCGTGGACGTGTGTGGATAAAAAAGTTAGTCCAAAGTTCTAATAGTTTAGATACTACTAGAAATCTAGGTAAGATAAATAATAGGAAATCTCATGGAAAGAAGGTTAAGGAGACTCCGTTGAATGGAAGGTTAAAGTAGATACTTGGAATACTGTATCTTTGACGAGAAAATTGATAGAACTTGTCGACACGATGGGTAGACGGAGTGTGAACATTGCATGCATCCAACAGAGTGAGTGGATAGGTGATAAAAGTAGGGAAATAGAAAATACGGGTTTAGATTGTGGTATTTAGGACAAGAACGCAATAAAAATGGTGTGGGTATTATTCTAGATAGGTATTTGAAAGAGTCGGTGGTTGCAATAAAAAAGAGTATGAGATATGATCATCCTAATAAAATTAGTGGTATGAGAAGAGACTTTCAACATGATTAGTGTTTATGCACTGCAAGTAGGATTAGATAGTGAATATAAACAAAATTTTAGGAAGATATGGATAACCTCATGCAATGTATACTGTCCAGAGAGTTTATTTTTATCGGTATTGATTTAAATGGATATGTCGCAAAAGATAGACAAGAATATGAATTAGTACATGGAGTTTTTGGTTTTGGGAGTAAAGGTGAAGAAGTTAAGAAATCCTAGATTTTGTCATGTTTTATGACCTCATGTTGGCAAATATGCATTTTCAAAAAAGGAAATCGTATTTAATGATCTTTAAAAGTGGACAAAACCGAAACAAAATCGATTATCTTCTTACGAGGAAGTCAAATCGTATTCTATATAGAGATTACAAAGTTATTTCGGACGAAACTCTAACTAGTCAATATAGGTTATTAGTATTAGATGTCAAGATAAAGAAAAAGGTTATACGTCCAAAGAAGAAAGATGTACCAAGAATTAGGTGGTGGGATCTAAAAATCCAATATCGATAGCCATTTGAGAGAGAGATACTCAAATTGAATATATGGAAAGATGATAAGGAGGCTAATGAAATGTGGATATATATATATATGTCATCTAGCATCAATAGTGTTGTTAGAGAGATACTTGACGAGTCAAAAGTATATGAACCGCTAAAAAAAGAGAAATAGTGGTGAAGTAAAGAAGTACAAAAGGCGATAAGGAACAAAAGAGAGTGATCTAGAAAATTATTTAAATGTAATACAAACGAAGCATACGAACAATATAGGTTGGCTAAAAAAAAGGCAAAGAAGTCGTTAGCCAAGCAAGAGCAAAGGGTTTTGAAAAGATGTATGAGAAACTTGAAACAAAAGAAGGGGAGAATGATAGATATAGGTTAGCTAGAGAAAGAGAGAGGAGAACTGGAGATTTGAACGTAGTTAGATGTATTAAGGATAAAGAATGTAACAACCTAGTTAAAGATGATGACATATACAAGAAAAGTATAGCTACCGACCATATACAACTAAAGACTACCACAAGAGAAAGAAATGCGTGTTATACTAGAAGGATTATATATATAGTGGTGAGAGATTCACTAAATAAGATGAAAATAGGTAAAGTGTGTAGTATCGATGGTATTTCTATTGAAGAGTGGAAATATCTAGGAGAAATGAGAATATAGCTTACTAGGTTGTTTAATAATCCTAGTGGATGCAAAATGAATGGAGATGAAACAATTTAGTCATTATCTTTAAAAATAAGGGGATATATAAAGTTATGCATATTATAGAGGATCAAATTTACAAGTCATACCATGAAGTTGTGAGAAGATATTGTCGTAGAGCGACGTCTACGTAAACCAATTTGGTTTTATACCCAACTCTATAATGGAATCAATCTTTTTCATTCGTAACTTGATGGATAAGTTTTAAGTTATGAAGAAATATTTGCATATGGTATTTATCGATCTGGAAAAAGTTTATGATCGAGATTTATAGTGAGTGTTAGAGCATAGAAGAAGTATTGAAGGATATATATGAATGTGCGATCATTAGTGTCCGAAAAATAGGAGGTGACATTGAGATTTTTCCTCCTCGGTAGGGTTGTACCAAAGGTCTATTTTAAGTACGTACCATAGTGCATGATGTTTGGAGACGATATCGTGGTAATGATGAGTCCAGAAAAGGAGTCAATGGACAATTAGAGTTATGGAGGAGTACATTAGAGGCTAAAGGTTGTAGACTTAGTAGAACGAAGACCGCACATATGCATTTTGATTTTAGTAGAAGATTTTCTAGTGATGTAGGAGCTAACTTGCAAGGAGGATTAATTAATACCTCAAAACTCGTATTTTAAACATCTTGGTTCAATTCTTTAAAAAGATGGGGGTTGTGACGAATATGTTAGTCACATACTAAAACCATGATTGATGAAATGGAAACAAGTCACGAGGGTTCTTTGCGATCGTAAAGTTCTTATATGGTTTAAAAGAAAATTTTACCATAGCGCTATAAGACCCACATTGATGTATGGTAGCGAATATTGGGTGCCGAAAAGATAACATGTGTCTGAAATGAGCGTGATCGATAAGCGAATGTTGGATGGATGTGCGGTCATACAAAGATGGATAAAATATGAAATGATAGTATTAGAGAGAAATTAGGAGTAGTAACTATAGAAAAGAAACTATGCGAAGGATGATTAAAATGGTTTGAACATATAAAACGTAGACTATTAGACGTTTCGGTCAGAAAAATAGAGGGTATAGAAACAGGATAGAAGAAGAATGAGAGTGGTAGACCTAGACTCAATTTGAAAACGAGTCGTTAGCAACGATTTGAAAATATTGCAAATCTCAGAAGATTTAACCCAAAATCGAAATGAGTGTAAACGAAGAATTCATACGGATATCCCCAAATAAACTTGGGATTAAAACGTTGTTGGTGTTGTTGTATGCCATAAGATATGGATAGCACATATATCGTACCTCGGAAATGATGCATTCAACGTGCACGACGATTTCGCAGACGTCGCATCCGTACGATGGATGTCGAGGATCTCTCGGTTCTTCGCATACATCGCAGTAGTATCCTCCGTATTCGACGTACTCCTTGAGTGTGAGTCGATGCTGATGGTGTTTGTGTTTTGCAGCGCTTGGTAGCCATGCAGCGTCACGGAGACATCCAAAATGGAAATAAAGACCACATTTAAGACATCGATAATACGAATTCCTCACTTCCTCTCTGCAAGAGGCACATTTAAAAACCTTTCTGAGGATGCCTTTAGGCTTGTTGTGAAGATAATAGAATCGATGGCTATGACCTCCACGTCGACGATCAAAGGGACGAGCCAAGGAGCTGCCGCACTCGAGATGGTAATATATTTGTCTTCTCGCGTTGATGACTTTATAGCCGTGGTGCGTATAATTCTCGCACGCAAAACAAACTTGCCAGGTGATTGTACCGTCAAGCTGAAGAACATGACGAGGAGCAGTAGGATGTCCTTCGACCAAACGCGGCCACTCCATACAAGTTTCATGGTAACTATAGGATATACATTTTGTGCAACAGTACGATGGACCTAAGAGTTTTTCGAAGCACACACGGCACTGTGCATGAATACCTGCATTAAAATTCGCGAGGGTTAGCTCGTGTTGTGGGTGCAGAGGGTGATTCAGAGTCTTTCTTGCGTATTTGTCGTAGAAAGTTTGTCTGAATTTGTCGGCATCGAGCACGCATTTAACATCGACAAAAAACTCGCAAGAGCGGCAGGAGAAATGAAATCCCTGAGAAACGTCTCCGCAAACGGCACATATAAACCAATCTCTATCGGCAGATATTCTGCAGCGGGATTGCTGGTTGAACACTCGTCTAAGAAGAATACGTTTGGCGAGATCGAGCTCGTGGTTCGGGTGAAGAGGATGGCCGTGTAAGGTCTGAGGCAGTGATGCGCATTTCTCATGAACCCAGAACTCATCATCATCATGACATTCCTCACATGCATAAGCTTGACCCTCCATCTGAAGCATGCACATTCGACAAAGTTTATTTGTTCCATTTTGCAAGCTCAAAGGATGGTCATGAATGGCCTTCTTAATTATCTGCATAATTCAACGAACGGCATTTTATTATATACATACACATATACATGAATATAAAATATTATATAATATGATTGGAAGTCAATTTTCTACCTCTTTATCACTTGAATGATTCTTCCGCAACAAAGATGATGAAAACTGGACAAATCCATCTTTCTGCATATAATAACAGCAAAAAATATATCATATTTGGAACTAATTAAATGATAACCATATATTTAATATATAAAAAATAACCAACCTTAGATAACACACATTCAATGTGCGCATACAACTTGCATTCATCACATCCGTAAACTTGAATGCTTCTTGCTCCCTTTATCATCCCCTCACATATGTCACATGAATATTCGCTCTGTAGATACGGATGAGATGTATACGGTAATCCATCCATAAGAGTAAGAGCGTGATCATGATGGTCGTGTTCGAACTCCGAAGGGACAGAAACACACTCAGCGTGAAAGAATCTCTCGCATTGCGCACAACGGAGACAGTGGCTCGAGATATTTTTTTGCAAACGTGGCACGTGAAATGAAAGTTGTCGGCAACGAGCACGCTTACAAGGCCGTGTTCGTGGGCCTCGAGCTTTATCATCCGGAGAGCGGAAATGGCGCATTGGAAATGCAACGCAAACTTACATCTATCGCAGTTGAACGTCGTTAGATTCCGCAAGGTGAGCCAGTGGCCGCACACCCGACACATTTGGTAGTCGGAAGTGAGGCTGAAATCCGGATGGGTGAGAGGATGAGGATGCAAAGGGTGATACATGACGGGAGGTATGTCCATGCATGACTCATGTATGAAATGCCTGCATGATAGCCGAACACATGCATAACCTACACCCCACATCGGAAGCTCGCATACGGTGCAGTCGTAATGAAATTGTTCCACCACATGAACGTACTCTCTGAACCTACACCGCACGAGCTGGTGCGCATGGCTCCAATGCCGAAGAAATCCCTCGTCGTCGCCTTCCCATCCGAGCGGCCTCTTGCTCGTTTTCGATACGCCACACTCGACGCACATGAGAAAATCGCAAATGCCGTCACATTCGTAACGCCCGCGTGGCAGGGAGATGTAGTTACACCCTTTACATATGAGAAAATCCAAACCGCCATAGTTGGGGAACGCCACATCTGGACCAGGTAATGGCTTTGAGGTTGTCTTTAGTCTTAGGCTGTGGTGGTGGTGAAGCCAGTGAGCGATTTTCGGGGGAATCTCGAAGCAATCTCCGCACATGTTTGCATTGCATTCTATACAACGATACAATGCGGGTTTCGGTAAAACGCAGAACTCGCAGTTTTTTGTGTGAGGGCCCTCTTCTAGCAGTTCCGTTTGGTGGCCATGGCTCGAGGTCAAAGTCTCCTTAGCCATCTCTCGATAAGGGAAGATAAAAACAGGAGAAACGAAAACAAAACACACTGAACACGATAATAAAAAGAGGTTTGTGAACGTGGGATCAATTCTTTCTTGAGTGTTGGGTTCTCTTTACCCTTTTTTTCATAGAAAAGGCATATGATATCATTAAAAAACATTAAATGTAAAATTATATATCAGCTGCATAAATAATTAGTAATTATCCCTAGATAAATGTATATTCAACCCATTAAAATTAAAATACCACAAGTAGTGATGTGATTAGTAATCATGTAATTCACGTTGGCACTGTATAAAATTAACATCGGCATCGAAAATGATTAGGAAATAATAACTAAAACATTAAAAATTCGAAAATTAACAAAAAAAATAAAAGAAAAATAAAAGCATAAAGCAGATTAGCAGAGAGGCCAAGGAATTTTTTTTTAAAAAAAAGTGACAAGTATGGAATGAAGTGAGGGCTAAGAAATAGCCAGAAAAGCAAATAATGTATATTATGCTATTGTGGGCCAAATAATGCATAAGGGCCTAGGAAATGAACATTGATAAAAAAAAAAAAAAACAGCTGTTGAAATCGGTGTTATTGCAATGCAATCTTATAATTCATTATTACACATACTATTTGTGTGTAGATAATTCGACCCATATAATCTTAAAACAGAATTTTAAAGACTTTAATTATATCTATATTATGTGAGATACCCGAAATACCTGCGCCCAGCCACCTGAACCAGTGATTCAGTACTCCGTCTGGTCCGTAAATTACGAATACTAAAATTACTGAAAGCTCTAAACATAACGCACCAATAACAGTCGGTAACTTTCCACATCGTAACCCCCCACCGGTTTCATCATATATACAAACCGAAACCCCTATCTTCGATTTCGGTACGCTTAACCCATTTGGTACAGTGGGTAACCGGAAAATCTAAGATTGTTTTCATGTCAATAATGTTAAAGGCTTTTTATACACTACTCTCTCAGTCCATGGAAGAACTGGTTTCCGCTGTCTCGTCCTCGCTGAAGCTCGACGGTACTTCCAGACAAGATCTGCGATATATATATTATTATGATCCAAATCAAAACCACTTAAATATCCCATCAGACTGTAAAATTACTACAAGAATCAAAACTGTAAAAAAAAAAACCTACCCTTTTGTCTGGCTTTTACATCCCATTATCTCATTGTATGGTGCTTTTGACGTATAGCAGTGCTGAAGGTAGCTTTGTTTCGTTCTTTTGGGGACCTTGAGAGAACAAGAAAAAGATCCAGACCCAAGAACACGAAGAAGAAGATCCAGTTTATAAAATACAAAAACGCTCATGAAACCAAGTTATATATTTATAATTTTATATAGGGAATTTAATCTAAGGTATAAAACTCACCGGTGGTTCATCTGTCACATGCAACTTCTCCCTGTACATTTTCACAGGATTCCTCTCCCCATGATACTTTCCTACCTGTTAAAAAGGATTAAGACATCAAGCAAGACACATAATTGTTATCTTTCCCCGAAAAAGCAAACCAGCAAGGAAGCAGAAATGTAAAGTTTTCCAGACAAACCTTGGCCCTCCCAGAAGATAGACCTCTCTCCATTGAGTCAGGGGACTTGCCACTCGCAGGCACCAGGTTTGAAGATTTAGCGGAATGTCCGCTTTTGTGACCCGTCTCAGGTATATGGTTATCATAATCATATGGGGAAGCCCGACTAATTTCAAGATTGCTGCTATACCGATCATGGCGGTTAGGAACCGGATCGTTTCTCATACCTTCGGGTCCAGGCTTGGAGCTTATCCAACTCTTCTTGCTGTTATATAGAGGGGTTTCGAGGGGAGAATCTTTGCCCATATCTTTTAGAGAGTTGGGATTGGGAAATGTGGTGAAATGGTTAAGAGATGGGGATTTCAATCTCGGTTGTTGATGGCTTTTCTTGCCTCTAAAACTGGGTCCGACTCCAACCATTGCGTCGTCATCGTTTTCGTCCTCCAAAAACGGTTCCGGAGAGCCCATCTTCGAGTCATGAGCTTCATATCTCTATAAGGATATTGAGAACAAAAATGAGAAATTAGATGCAAAGACCAGAGGTTACAATTCAAAGCAAATCTCCTATGAACGAGTATATCTTGCATCTGTGTAAAGTGCATCTTTTGAATTTCAAATCATATTCGGGTAAGCAAAAAATGGGTTGAGTCTACATACTTGTCATCATGGACAGGAACTCCCCATTCTTCATCGTGGAAAGCAACATAACACGGGTCTTCACAAGAGAAAAATACATCATGGATCAGTTGGGCATTATGCACTTGAGGAAATAAATTTCTAGCCATGGGTGCCTTGAGTATAAAATGTCGTGACTATCAGCCAAAAGATAAGTTAGGAATATAAGGTTTAGGTCCTAACTCCACCACAAAAACTAGCTGAAGGTTTGACCCTTACTTATATATTGGCCCAAATCCCTCTCATTTTCCAATGTGGGACACTTATCAATACCGCCCCCTTTAGACAGCGACGTCCACGGCGCTGGGGCAAATCTGGTCGCTGGCGGCTTCTCGGTCGATGGCGGCTTCTCGATCACTGGCGGCTTCTCGGTCCATACCCGACCGTTCCTCTCCTGATCGTTCCTCTCCCGACCGTTCCTCTCCCGACCGTCCCACAACCACCGAGTCGACCGCATGTCCGCAGGAGAACGGCCCGTCAAAGGCCCACCGGAAAGTAGAGAGTTAGGCTCTGATACCAATTAATAAGGTTTAGGTCCTAACTCCACCACAAAAGCTAGCTTTAGAGTGGAGGTTTGACCCTTACTTATATATTGGACCAAATCCCTCTCATTTTCCAATGTGAGACACTTATCACTTTCCCGCGGAAAATGATACCAGTTACGATTTTAGTGTTCCTTTCCACAGGGATGAAGCATTTTAGGATAGATATTTATAAATATGAAATCGGCGTTTCCCGGAAACTCCACCTACCATAAAAACTGAGTAATATGTAAGAGAAAATTTCTCACAATCACTTACAGGACAAGGACTAGGGTTCTTCCTATTTCCAGCAAGATGTGGATGGTTAGATCTTCGTTGATTCCCGACATAGATTGGCTCTAGCAAAACAGTTGAAAGAGAAGGGCCAACTAGATAAAGATAAAGAGGTGATGCATTTGAGAGAAGCGAAATAGATTTCTACCCCATTTTACCAACCGAAAATGTACATATCATCATGACTTACCATGAACTATTTCGTTTGGTAAATTCTCAAACGCGCCTGGAGGAAGAGGATCAAATTCAACCCCCAGAGGCGGACCATCCTCCCGGTAATGCCTTCCCAACTGTCTCTTTACAGCAATAATAGCAGCATTCTCGATTTCTCCTTTCAGTTTCAAGTAGCCCGAGGGCTTATATCCATAGTTTCTCATAACCTGAGTGTCTACCGGTGTGGCAGATCCATTACGCGTTACGTATCTAGAAGTTTCCGCATCATCTCGGACATCTTTTCCAGAAACAACGCGTTCATGTAATGACGAGCTGCTTTCTGAGGATGTACTATCCACACCATCAACATTCCCCATGTACTTACTTCCATAAAGCCTTTGGCTTTCAACTTCCCTTGGCTCGAAATTCTTATAATCTGTTTGCTTAGTGCTACCACATGAATCTTGCCTATGCCCGCTTCCACGATCTTGAATAACAACACTTGACCGATCTTGCCTCCCAACAGTGGCGTTTCCCTCATCTTTTAATGATCTTTTGTCTTTTAATCTCCGATGACAAAACCACCCGGAAACTTGTTTTTCTGTTAGTCCTATTTCCCCTGCAAGCTGAGCTTTCATCTCTTCGGACGGATACTTGTGCTCTGCATAAAACCGAATCAAAACTCGTAAAATGCATACAAATGAGCATGACGGAATTCTAGCCGACCGAGCAACAGCCAAATTTTTTACCATTGTAAAAATTCTCCAGGGCCATAACCTGGGCAGGCGTTTTAAGCCTTCTCTTCTTATTGTTTTCTGCTGAGATTTTGTCTCCGTCAACATGCATCTCGCCTGAATCTGCCAGAAACAACATACGGAATGCAATGAGGAAATGCCCGATTGCTCAGGGAAACAAAAACTTGTCAGTAACCAAGAACTGGACGTATGCCATTCCACAAGCGGCCGGAATCAGACATCCGTTTACGTCTATCTAACAAATTAACACAGATCTCTGCATTTCCGGCCCAGATTAACACGCATTCGAGACTAAGGGTTTGAAATTCGGCAAATTTTTCAGAGATTTTCTCGGTAGCCAAACACTCAAAAGCCAACCGAATCCAATCAAAACGATGAAAATTCCCGAATTCATATCCTGATCACTCCCGTCCCTGCAAGCAAGTAAGCGAAAACGCGGATCCCATGGTGAACTCACAGAAACGATGACCCAACGAGAAACAAAAATTCAAACCAGGCGTAACAACACCGAAGCTTGAAAACAATTGCGGGAAATACATAAAAATGTAGAGAAAAAAAACAATCGTGAAAGGATCATTAATTCACGGGAAAAAGCGAAATTCTTGTACCTTCCGTCATGGTCTGTGGATTTTCCCAGAATTTTATGTCTCGCCTTTGGAAAATTTCTCGAGAAACGCAAAAGCCAGGAAATTTCAAAGCAGAAGGCGAAATCAAGGAAATGGGTCTTGCATGAAATCAAAACAGAACTCCCATCTCGCTCGTCTTCCTACATCGAATCGAACAACACCAGAAGATAGATGGGAAAGAAACGAAAGATAGAGAGAGAGAGGGAGGGAGGAGATAACGCTCTAGGGTTTTCTTGTGGAAGGAGAAAAGCCAAAACCAGGAATTAATTTTCCCTTTTAATCTTTCTCCCCAAATCGCCCATTTGTTTCTTCGCACTTCATTACACATTCCAGATTTGTCGTCGATGATGTTCCTAATTAATCCCCTATTTTAGTTCCCTTTTCCTTTTCGTATTGTTGTTAAGCCAATTAGATTTTCCAGGAAAAAAAATTAAATAAAAAAAACAGCACCGAGAAACAGTAAAAGCAACAAGACGTTGGAGAAAGCTGATAAATTCAGGACAGATTGCTGGGAGTTGCAAGTCGGTGTTGGGTCGGGTTGTTTTTTAATTAAAAATTTATTGATTTCTAAAATTATATTTATTCATTAATATTTTGAATTTTGGATTCCATTCAAGTTTTGTTTGGATATAATAATAAAAAGAATTTTGGACCATATCTTTGGTTTCTCTCTAAATAAGGAAAGATGAATTTATTCCAGTTATTAGTGAAGTCCGATAAATTTGAAGTCAATTTAAAATTTATCGACTAGGCCTTAAATATTTATGGGCCAACAGACGGGCTCGTCCCAACTCGATTAGTGTTTTTATTTTGTATACATATTACATAACTACATTCATATATATATATATATATACACATACATACTCATTTACCCAATCATATATATATATGATTATGTATTTTCAAATATAACTAAAATCTGAATAAAAAATATACAAACTTATATATCATAGAGAATTATAAAAAAAATAGAAAATTGTTTAATATTGAATAATATAAGATGTAGTATTTTAATATATAATAAATTACAATGTCATTATTTTTAACTCAAGTTTGGGTGATCTAACGGTAGGAGTACATACAAAATATGTTTTTACATGATTTAAACTCATACATGGAAAGAGACATTTACCGGTCTTCTGTGAGATATAGTTGGATCAAAAACTTGGTGAATTTTCAGATTATAAAAAATTTATCATTAATTTTAAATAATTATTCAGAATTAAAAAATATAATAATTTAAAATTTAAATAAATTTATTATCACATGAAACTTTGAGAATTCCGTCTTTAATTTCTCTTATATTCTATTGAATTAGAAAAGTTATTTTTTTTACTATGATATATAGTACTCTACATTTTAAATGTAATTGATATTAGGAATATATGGTGTTGAGTTGACCAGTTGGATGCTTTGTGTGCTGACTCACTGTCTTATTTTTCAAATAGCCATTCGTTTTAACAAGGATGACAATTTCCATAACTATATAAAATAAAATAATATTTCTGGCCTTCGATATTTTAATTAATTATTGTTATTCGCTCTCTCTCTCGCTCGCTCGCTAGCTCGCTTGGCATCGCTTGGTGTTCACAGGCCGACTTGGCAATCTTGACGCACGAATTCACGCATCTCGACACTCCACACGCGCCCGGAGGGAGGGAGAGAGATCGACAGCGATTCCTCTAAATCTCTCCTCGAAATCCATGTCCGCCCGCTAGATTCTCATCACCCATTTTCTCGTTTTGCTGCATCTGGGTCTTCTTCGATTTCAGCTCCCCCAACGTTAGTTTCCATGTTGGGTTCGTCTTCCTGTTACGCATCTCCGCTATGCATTAAATAGATATTTTTAAATTTATGTAAGATTAATAATTTTTTTAAAAAAATATATCATAACCGAACCGAACCGATCTAAAACCGAACCGAATAAATCGAAAAATATAACCGTTTGGTTATAATTTTATTGTGCAAAAACCGAACCGAACCGAACTGAATCCGACAGTCGGAGTAGCCGCCGCTTGGCTCGCCGGAGAAGAGTGCTTTTGAACCCCCCCGCCGCTTCAGTGGCCGCTGGGGGCCGTGGATCCGCCGGCATTCAGGCGCTGGTGAGTTCCTGTTTGGTGTTCGGACCATGCGACCAGTACTGCAACAACAATGCCTTGTCTTCTTTGTTTGGATCGAATAACATTTCCTTGAATCGGAAGCAGAGGAGATTGAATCGAGCATCCCGCTCCGGTATAACATTCTTCCTCAGAAATCTACTGTTTTTGTGTTTCCAATCTGGGATTTCTATTCATTTGAATTTCTGGGCATTGTTTGAAAGTTGACAAGCTTAGTTTTTTTCGCCGGCTCCTATAATATGGGTTTTTGTTGCTCTTTCCTCTGCTTGGAGGATTTACATATTCTCCAAATCGTTTAGTCATTGTTGTTTTCTAGGTTTAATTTACTGCAAGAATGATAAAATTAGGGAAGATGGTAAGATTAGATTGGCTTTTCTTTTGGATGAATAACATCTGAAATGTTCATTTGTTTACTATGTTTCTTTCCAAGGGAATTATATGAGGTTATGCACAATGTCGAACTCTTCATGAGGATAGAGTAATTTATCAACTGTCTTCTTGTCTTTGTGGTTTCTAGGTGAAGCCGTGGCAGTCACAATGCAGCTGGAAAAGGAATCCATGGCGAAAAAGAAACCTGGTACAGAGCAACGGCGGGTTGTCGTGACGGGTATGGGAGTTACGACGTCATTAGGTCATGATCCAGATACCTTTTACGAGAACTTACTTGAAGGGATAAGTGGTATTAGCCAGATCGAGAATTTTGATTGTTCTGAATTTCCAACGGTAACCATCTTCTCGGCATCTCTTACCATGAATATCTCCATTTGTGTTTTTGGATTGCACTTGATTTGGCTGTTTTTTTCTTCGTTTTGATTAGAGAATAGCTGGAGAGATCAAAGATTTTTCATCCGAAGGATGGGTTGCCCCGAAACTTTCGAAAAGGATGGACAAATTCATGCTCTATCTTTTAACTGCTGGCAAGAAAGCATTGGTTGATGGTGGGATAACTGAAGATGTGATGGCCGGGTTAGACAAAACTAAATGCGGAGTTTTGATTGGCTCTGCAATGGGAGGCATGAAGGTACCTTCCTGTTTTTGGGTTTGAACATGTAAAAAAAATGCAGGGGTAATTTTGGCTCGAGGGTCATATTCATATGATTGCTAGCCATGTTTTCCATTAAAAAAAACAGTCAGAAAAGATATAATTTGAGATTGTGAAATGTATTGCTAATTGTTGTATTTCCCAAACGGTTTATCTTGAAACAGGTCTTTAATGATGCGATTGAAGCTTTGAGTATCTCCTACCGGAAGATGAATCCATTTTGTGTACCTTTTGCAACAACAAACATGGGCTCTGCTATGCTTGCCATTGATCTGGTCAGATTTAATTTAGTATTGATATTTCATTTCTGATGACCTCCATGAATTTAGTATTGATATTTCTTTTGTGATGATAAATTAGGGATGGATGGGACCGAACTATTCTATTTCAACTGCTTGTGCGACAAGTAACTTCTGTGTTTTGAACGCAGCAAACCATATTATCAGAGGTGAAGCTGTATGTAATCTGCTCTCAACATGCTAGTCAACAAACTTGCAGTATTTTCATGTGATTCTGTTTCCATGTAACATTTACTTTATTTTTCCCCAAAATGTTTAGGATATAATGCTCTGTGGTGGCTCTGATTCCGTTATTATTCCAATAGGTACATGTTCTTTCTCTTATATAACGTGCTTCTCTTTTGTTTTTGTTTGGAACATTTTGTTCTTACGCGGGTTCGAATCCACCTCTCTACATTAAAATGTAGGGGCAAGGTGGCCTAGTATATTCTCTTCCCCAGCACCCCCACTAGACGGGGACGAACTGGGTTGGTCCTTTATAAATCTTATCTTTTGTGTATCACTGCAGGTTTGGGAGGTTTTGTGGCATGTCGGGCTCTTTCACAGAGGAATGATGATCCAGCCAAAGCTTCACGTCCTTGGGACAGTGTAATTTCTCTTCTCATTCTCTGTGCCTTTGTTTTCATTTTTACTTCTATGTTGTGCCAAAATTTTCTGTTGCATCTTCTTTACTAAAACCGGTGATCATTTTATTGCCTTAAATTTTCATGGCTGTTTTGTACAAACTGCGGTAAGAAACTTTTGTGGGTGGGGATTTTCCATGTTTCTCAATAATGCTGGAAGAAAATATTGGTAGAAGATTGCATTTTGTGTTCGAAAATTATTAACTTATCTTGGCTGCAAAGACAGAATCGAGATGGCTTCGTGATGGGAGAAGGGGCTGGAGTTCTGCTTTTGGAAGAACTTGAGCATGCTAAGGTACACATGCGCCTATCCAATGAGCAAACATGATTTTGTCAAAATTTCCCAATTGTTAATGTGGATCTTGATTCTTTAAAGCTTTGCATGATTCTTTATAGCTTTGCAGTTTTTGCTTCGTGCTTTCTGTCAACCTATATTCTTCAAAGTGCGACAATACAAATGCAATTTGTGGCCTTTGCTATGGTCCTTCGTTCTTATATCTTTCTTTCTCATTGAACCCATGTGAATGCTTTTTTATATTTCGTTATGGAAGTTGTTTTGTGTATATATCTGTTCTTGTTTTCCAGAGAAGAGGAGCTACTATCTATGCTGAGTTTCTTGGTGGGAGTTTCACATGTGATGCGTATCACATGACAGAGCCACGGCCTGATGGTAGTACACATTCCACTATCTCTTTTTATTGTAGCGTAGACGTACTTGTTGCCTTCTCGTTTTTGTTTTCCATCTATAAAGTTCATACATTTGGAAATTGTCTTCCATTAGTTGCTGAAAATTGATATTCTTAGTCTTTTCTTTCGATTCCTTTGTTGCCTTGTCTTATCGTTGAATTAGATTTCTAATATGTGCAGGGGCTGGAGTGATTCTATGCATTGAGAATGCACTAGAACAAGCCGGGATTTCCAGGGAAGATGTAAACTATATCAATGCTCATGCAACCTCAACACCTGCTGGAGACCTTAAGGAATACCAAGCCCTTGTTCATTGTTTTGGCCAAAACCCCGAAGTGAGTTTGGTTCTCCCCTCGATTAAATACATTTATTTCGGGCTGCATTTGTGATTTTGTTACCAGCTCTATCAAAATTTTGGCAGCTGAAGGTGAACTCGACAAAATCTATGGTTGGACACTTGCTTGGAGCAGCTGGAGCAGTAGAGGCTGTCGCCACCGTGCAGGTAATGAATTGTTAAACTTTAAGAGACATTACCCATTTCTAAAAGGCTGGAAATGCTGTATAATATCGTATTTTCTGGGAGAAAAAATGTTCACGTTTAATGGATAAAAACTATAACGGTATGTTTAATTCCTCGTTCTGCTTCATGATCATGCCAATCTCTGTTGTCC